AAGGATCAATCGTCCTCGAATGAGAAGTAGAGTCCAACTTAAATGCTTAACATAATAAATCTCTTTCTAACCTACCTCAAGTCCCTAAATTTTGACTAACTCCCAAATTTTTCAGAAAATTTGGCAGAGTCTCCTTTGTAACTAGGCATATCCACCTGTCAGAGAACCATCAAAACCATCCTAACAACACGTCCACAATAAGACAAAGCACCACAATGTATATATCGACGATACCAGTTTCACCATTACAAGCACTACATTATCACGATGATACCTAGACATGGACTACAAATTTTAAATCATAACACCTATAAGGTACCTTTCAAATCGAAACTAATTGTTACACAATCAAGCGAACCTTTCCACGACACTTTTGGCCTTCAAGGTGGCCTCCTTGACTTACAGGATTTACCACAACCCATTCGCGAAAATAATCCCAACCTTCAAACTTATCTAAAAAGGATGACAACTAGATACCTCGCATAAACTAACAATCCAGTAACTTCACGTTCAATAGTTTCCACCGGGATGATACACAAAAGGTCTCCAATTACCTTCTTTGACATAGACATATGAAAACACATAATACATGTAGAACAACGATGGTAAACATCATACTCATAGCACGGCCTAATGTGAACTACACTTATGCAACCTTCATTATCAACTCACATAACATCTTTAGGAAAGTATTGAGAATAACCCCTTCACCTTCTTAAACTCTAAATCTCTACATGAACGCCCATGCTAAACCTTTGATGACCTTTCACAATTACTCTAAGATGTGCTATCATAAACTAATGGTAAAATTACCTATCAAATATATGGGATCACGTGGGGATACTTCCTCTTTGACATGTTTGAACCTTCAATACCCAATAGATCTAATACAGTAAGGAGCAACAGAGTTCCAGATTGGGCTGGAATTATTCATGGATCCATTTAGGTGCTGAGCAGAGTATTTCATGAGGTTACATGCTAAGAGACACGAGGATTTCTATTGATGATGCTAATATGGTTAATCATTGTGACGACATCAACTATTAGACAATTAAGGCATAGGGGTAACTCGTACATTGGCAATAGAAACCATTAAGGAGGAATATTCAAGTACGTGACCCAGTCGCCTCCTGGAGTGTAGGGAAAATCCAGTTATCAAGAATGGGAATATTCTGGCACCTTGAATGCGATATGGGTTTCAAAACACATGAAGTTGAATTACACTCTTAACGTTAATTGACACAAGGAATCTATGCCACAAGCCCATGAGGATGAAAAGAAGTTGAACACTTATGAAATTATCATACTTCAAACAGCTTAACCCTTCCTGATAATTGATCCTATATGAGAGAAATAAAGATACAATAACTTGTCTTCCAAATCAATATGCTCATGATATGTGCAAAAATCTGAAGACATCTAATCTCAACCTTTCACGAGCGAAAACCACATAGCTAGGACATCTTAATATTGGGACGAAATCATGTATTGGTTAGAGGGGTTCTAATAGTTAACACGATGCTCCGGGGAGAAGACAAATAATACTCCTATCCAGCCAAGAAGGTGAAATACCAAGGGTAGAAAAACTCCCCGCACATGACAACGACATAGTCAATGATTCTAGAAGTCGAGGGTGTAAAGACAACCAAACTCATGAGACAGTACAAAATAATCATTGAAGGTTTGCAGATGTTCATGATGAATTCTCCATGGATTTTGACTTGAGAAAGGAAGTGTCATAGTGACACATAGAAGGTCATGTTCTCTCATGGTTATCGTACAAGTGTTAGGAAACTAGCACAATGAATTCACTAACTATGGAATACAATTAACACATTGTGGAGGTATAAAGAGAAAATAATCATTTGTTATTAGCTACATGCTTCTGCTATATTAACTCTCAGACTACAATACAGGACCACATCATGGGCGACCACAATACTAGAAACTAAGTGAGCTACTTGCTACGGATGTCGCAAGTGGACAGAAAGTTATACCACGATGGCGACACCTGATCTTCCTACGACGGAGATGTGAGGATCTCAATTTTCAGAGAAGCTTTATGTGCACGGTGACCATTTCGATTGACATGCACTCCTATGATAGGTGCTAAGATATGCTCTTATGTTACTAGACAGTGAGAAGGTTCCATGATGATATTCACAAGAGAGTAGATTGGTTGTTCAAACTAAGTAAGCCATATACACGACCGAGTAAAACAGTGACTCGAGAAGGATCGCAACGCTGGGATGCTTTGCATGGAACTTGACACCACATAGGTAAAATTCATGATGGTGCATGTATAGGCACAAGCGAGTAGATTTTGTCCATTTAAATAAAAAGATTTCTGTAAGAAATTCATCGGGAATAGTCCCTTGTTGAGAATTTAGGAAAAGCAAGTGGGAAGTATCAATAGTGTTATAACTCAATTTAGGAACATAATTATAGAGCTCAATTCCATTAGAGGCTGTATTTAAGAGAACTGTGATCGGGAGACTTTGTGAATAATACGTCTCATTCAAAGAGCAGGTGCATGCAATTTTTTGTGATTCACATTCTTGTTAAGACCATATCTATGCAGGCTCCCAATACAGGTGTACGTATATAATAAGGAAAAGTATGAGGCATTCAGAATGACGTACTAATAGGTCACTTACTTGGTGACTCTAGATTGGCGGGGCAGTGCCTTAATTGATGCACCCTGACCCCACATCTGTAACATACATTGGTAACATACTGATATACTACATGATCTGGTGGTGCATTGATATTAATAGAAACAAGGGTACTCCCCTTAGCAACAAGCTCTACCAATCTCTCCATGGCTCAACATATTCTCCTAACAAGTCCTTGGGCAATCCACTAGGACTCAATGGTAGGGATCAATCCCTCCTTACATGCTTCAAATTCATGGATTATGGTAACAAGATTACCAATCTTGAGAATAAGACTTAGAGAGGAAATCAGCTCCCTATCTTGAGCTATATCGCACGATCTGGAGTATCAAAGAAGGGTGAAATTCCTGAATGTCCAAATAGCCTCCAACTTATAGATGTGGTAGACAACACACCGATAAGAAGAACTCTACTAGACACGACTCCGAGACATCATAGGACACTTTAAAACCTTAGGCTCTGATACCAAGTTTGTCATGCCCCAAAATCCAAGGAGCGTGACCGGCGCTCAACCGAGTAAGCCCGACTGAGCAAGCCTGTTATGTTCCATTCTACCCAAACCAACTCATGATTAAATAGGAGATAGACTCCATTAATCAGATTTAGTAAGTATTTCATTAACAACTTCCATTTAATTTCCATTAGCAACTTAAATCATAATTATCAAAATATTACAAGTTTTATAAATCCTTGCCAAACATCAATATTTCTACTTTAATTCCCAATACCAAACACCACCCACAACCTATCTACAGAGCCTCTATATATAACTGAAGAATAATATGGAAATGCTGACAACAAGGCTCCGGCTATACCTCTAAATACAAAGTACATGATAAACAACGGTACAAGACCCCAAAATGAAGTGGGGCTCGCCAAATTAGTTGAAAGGAAGATGCATCACTAGATGCGACCAACACTGCCTGCTATGGAACCACCTACATCCATTTAAAGATATAGCGCCCTCGGCAAAAGGGATGTTAGTGCCATCGAATAGCACTAACACGTATAACTAGACACCATCTAGTTAGAAAGAACTATCATACAGGAGCAAAGAAATCATAAACACATTCTCATTAAAAAGAACTATCAACAAGAATAAAGAAATCATAAAGGTCAATCAAAAGCTTTAACAATCACCACATCATCAAATCGAAGAATCATATGACTTTCACATAATTCCCATGGCTTTAGGTTGGCGCACTTGATATTGTTCATCATCATTCATAATACCACCGCTTTCTTGAGCGGAGTCCAATCACGACCCGATCGGCTAGGTTGCCTCATTTGAGACATATAACTCAATCACAATCTCATTTTCCTTTTTTTTGGAATTCATTCACAATACCACCGCTATCTTGAGTGGAGTCCGATCTCGGCCCGATCGGCTAGGCCGCCTTGCCAAGGCGTTCGTTCCCTTCTCATTAATCATCTCATTTCAATCTTTATTTCATATATATCAATTCATAGGCACTTGGGGCCACAATTATCACATCATACTTGGCACTAGGCCATATTTCATAACTCAATCTCTTTTTTCCCACATTTCACATCATATCCACATATTTCACATCAATATCAATTTCAACAACAAGCCATTCAATTCAAGATGTCAAGTACACATGAGAGGAATCATGAACCATGGGCATATACAATATTTCAGAAATCATACACCTCAAGTTTATTAACAATGGAACTTTAAACACAACGGATTCTTCCAAAAAGGAGGGGATACACCAAACCACAATAAAAACACACATCAAAGGCATAAGCAAGCAATTACACCAATTGTTCTTGAATTACTCTCTTCCAATCATGACAATATACAATTTCAACATCGAAGTATGTAACAACTCGGATCACATTGGATGTACT